GAGGTTGTCCATTCTGATTACAACAGATTCCAACCTTTGAGCATTCCCTCACAAGATGAGGATTTTTGGCACAGGCATATGAGGGGACGCCACAAAGAAACCCCCATATATATCGGGCATCACCAGGGAAGCGGAGGCAAAGCCTAGAGGAAGGGGAGTTAGAGGAGGCATACACAGACAAAAAAGAAAGGAAAGACAAACACCCAAAAAGAATGGAATCTTCAACCTTTCCAAACGAGAATTAACAATATCGCAGACACAATTATTGACGAAGGGACTTAAATTTGCCCCCACTAAACCAATTGATAAATTTAGTGTATATCTGGATTTAAATAGATTTAAGAGGAAACTTTGCCTAAAAAAATTCTTCCTTCCTTAAAAAACCAAACCCAACTCAATACTGGAATTATACACACGGATTTAAAAGAAAAATCCACCTTCTTTCTGGTGAGATGACCACCTTTGAAAAAATGGTGATGAGTGATGTTAACAAAATAAAAACACTTAAACCAAATGATCAAAATTTAAATTTGAAAGAGAGACAAGCTCTCAAGCAATTAAGAGAGGACCAAACAATTGTCATAAAAACAGCCAATAAAGGGAGGGGAATAGTTATTTTAGACGTGGATGACTACACAAAGGAAGTCCTGACAAAAGATCCCACAAAAGACATTAAAAGTACTTACTATGCGTTAATTAAGAAAGGGAAAGAAAGTGAGGTTTTAGATTCAAAGGAATACAAATTTTTAGATGTGCAACATCCCAAAATTCCTGTCTTCTATTACCTTCATAAGGACAAAGACAAACCACCCGGTAGACCCATTGTCTCGGGGATAGGGTCTATCTCGAGCAGGTTATCACAATACATTGACAAATGTTTACAACCCATTGTCAATACCTGCCCGAGCCACTTGAGAGACACCATTAACATTTTACAGGTTATTCAACACATCACTTGGGATGTGGATTATTATCTTGTGACAGCTGATGTCAGTTCGTTATACACGTTATTTCCCATACCAAAGGATGTAGAGCAACTAGGCACTTTTTGGAGCGCTCCAATACATTTTTAACCAATCAAATTGATTTTATTGTTGAATGAATAGAGTGGATTTTAGGCAATAATTACTTCTGGTTTTGAGATCAGTTTTATCTTCAGACATGTGGAACGGCGATGGGTACGAGGTTTGCGCCCAGCTACGCGAACCTGTTCATGTCACACTGGGAACAGGAGTTTATTTACAACGATCGCAGATGGGACGCAAACCTCATTACCTATCACCGTTACATAGATGACATATTTTTCATTTGGAAGGGTGATGAACCCTCTCTTAACATTTTTTTAACCCATTTGAACACTAATGATTGGGGCATTAAACTCACTAGCCATTATAGTAAAACTTCGGTGGAATTTTTAGATCTTAACATATATGTGGAAGAGAACATCCTTAAATCCTGCACTATCTTCAAAAAGGTGGGCGTCAATAGTTACATAGAGGAGAAAAGTTGTCATTTCTCCCCTTGGCTATTGAACGCCCCCAAAGCACAGTTATTGAGAATATTGAGAGCAATTGTACGGACAATATAAAATTCCAAGAGCAGTCCACTAAAATATTGAATGATTTTAGAGAGAAAGGATATAGTAATGAACTGTTAACAAGAGCTTATGAAGAGGTTGAAATGAAAAATAGGAATTAATTACTTATATATCAGGATAAAAAAGTGGATATACAACATCATAACTTCAATTTTATCTGTGATTTTAATTGCAATAGTAATCAACTGAAGAAAATAATCAGAAAATATTGGCCAATATTGAAGAATGACCCTGTCCTCTACCCTTTACTCCCAGATACACCTACAATCACATATAGGGGTGCACACAATTTAAGTCGCAGTTTAGTGCATAACCATATACCACCACAAATTACAAAAAAATCATTCTTTTTTAATGAAACCAATGGATTCTATGGGTGCGGTTCATGTGGTGCCTGCACAAATACTCAAAGCTCGAAACGAGTGATAAAGGATTTTGACCATCCCAGAGATAGTGGGAAAAAATTTAAAATTAAACAACTAATTACCTGTCATTCCACAAGGGTCATATATAAAATCACTTGCCCATGCAAATTAACATATATAGGAAGAACTATCAGAACACTAAATACACAAATTCAGGAACATGTAAGAAATATAAAAAATGGCTTTGAGAAGCATAGTGTTTCTATACATTTCAAAGAAAAACATAATTGCGACCCTCGTTTTATGGAATCTATGGGGATTCAAAGAGTCTTTGTTAATTGGAGGGGAGGTGATCTAAGCAAGAACATAGGACAAACAGAGATGAAATGAATTTTTAACTTGAACACGATGCAACCATATGGATTGAATGATGACTTCGAATTATGTCATTTTTTATAGAGTTATTATATATATTTAATTTTTTTTTATGCATTTTATTAGAATGTAATAATGTTCTTTTTATATGAAGTCATCATTAGAAGTCACATTGATTGCATCATTAATTACAGATGT